TCCCATTCACCCCCGATCTACCAGCAGCCCATTTTCCGCGGAGACCCACCACAGCCACAACAGCCGTGTTCAACACCGCCCATGGCATCCTCTGAACCAGTCCAGATCCTCTACGACTCCAACGGCCGACCTTTGCCGCCAGCACAGCAGCCCTATTTCCCTGAGGATGACCCCTGGAACAACTATGGCAACTGAGATGCCTGAGCCGGCTTTGAAGTCAATCTTCTGTAGTTACTCAACCTTCATTGTCCACCTCTCATGTTGTCCCTTCGGTGTTCATCATACTGCCCTTTCACCATTACTCATCTGTTTTTACACCACCTGTATGCTGCCAAGCGTTTTGTGGACATACTTTCATGCTGCGACCGCTAGTCGTTTCACCCCGCACCACGAAAAAACCAAAGCCATCGAGATTTCATGTGACTTGTGTTTTCCACCAAAGATAACTGATCTCAATTCTGCTTGTCAGACCATACTTGGAATCACGACTTTTGCATAACGGTTCCAAATTTTGAGCGCCTCCGACAGGACTTTTCAATCTCCATATTACAGCACACCACAGCTTCCCATTCGTCCACCTGGAGCCCGATTCTCGACATCATGGATGCGCAGTGGCAACAGTTTTACTGGCAACATTATCTTCTCCAGCAGCAACAGCAGCAACAGCAGCCCACAACGCAACAGAGCCAACCCACTCAACAATACACTCCCACGGGCACTTATGGACCTATGACCCATTCAGTGCGCACCCAGCAGGCACACCAGCACCACCCCTACATCCCATCGCAGGCTAACTCACAACCGGCACACACTCCCTCGCCTTCTACGAACCAGCCATTCCCACCACCTCCACCGCCACCACTCCCAACAGCAGCCCCTACTACTCCGAACACCACCTCATTCAAGCACAGTCCAACTCACCAGACTCCACCTGCACCGCCGTCCACTGTCCCGTTTCCTCCACCACCACTTCAAGATTCGTGGCATCCCACAGACTCTCACTGGGACTCCAATACACTACACGGCCATCAACTTCACCGCACCATACAGCCCAGGCATCGCCGGACTACCCACCTTCGATGTGTTTCCATGGCCGATTTCACAGCCAGGACTCTGAGCCACGGAAAGTATTGCGGCCTCATTCCGACACGCAGCATTGCCGAGTCCGTTTTTACAACCCACCTGTTACAAGAAATCCGGGACAAGCGCCTCGACCTGGATGCTATCGCAGAAGCCATCCACACATCCCAAGTGAAGGCTAAACGGAGGGTGTGTGGAGAAAGGGGGTCAGCAAACATTGCTTATACCACGAAGTTCTGCGAAGGTTTCTGGGATTTCGTTGCAGTCAGTTCTCCTACTGGCCCACCATTCCACGAACTGTCCACGAACAGCCTTGGTCCTACGAAGGTCACGCGCCTTCCACGACGTTAGTAGAATAGGTTTTTGCAAAACCCTTTCTGATCTTTCTGTGCACTACCCTTCCGTTTGCCTTTGACCAAGGCACCGCAGTCCCCAACAAAACAACCCAAGCCCGCGCCTTTCACGCTCCACTGATTTCCCTCATCACTCAACAACTTCAAACCCACGCCCCAGCAGCAGCCGAAGGTTCGGCCCTTCGTGCCCTGAAAGCCAGGTCAGACGACCTAGCCCGAGCCCGCGAAAAGCTCCAAGCCCACGGCATCGAACTTACACCCCGAAAAGATGCCGGCCGCTCCTCCGCCCCCAGTGCACCAGCCGCTCCAGCAGAGCCTGCAGCCCACAAGCCCCCCGTGCTGGCAGACGTCCTCCAACCACCCCATCCGTCTTTAAAGGACGATTCTCCAGATTCCTGGACGGCTCCGGCCATTCTGCAATGGATGCGCACTTTCGACCCAACCGTTCAAGAATCGGCCAAACAAGTGCTCCGCATTCTCCAGACGAGCAAGGTCACCACCGACCAGCTAAAGGGAGCGGCTACTCGATACGGTTTGCCACTCAACCGTGTCAACAAGCTTACCATAAAGAGTTACGCTCACAACAATGGCGACAGCGCCTACGGCACCTCCAAGTGCTTCCTCACACTTACCACTACCACAACTTTCTCTCCCCTAACTCCGTTTACATCAAACTCCACTTCAACACCATTACACCACAACGATGCTACCATCAACATGGCCACTATATTACGTGGGCTCCACTGCCATCGGCATACCACACCGAGAACACAACCGCCGTGCCGAGCTCAAGCAACTTCAAAACAATATCCCAGTCTCCGCTGAACTCTCCCTGCGCGATTGGCACTCCCATGGAAACATGCGCCACTTCATCCCTATTCAGCTCTCTTCCCACGACAACTACGACCAAGCGTGGATCAAAGTGGCTCTCAATTGGCCCTTCGTCTCCCAAAATCTCAAGCTCAAAGCCGAGGGTTGGCAATTCACCAAACACCGGGCGCATTTCTACTCCCGACTGGCCACACACAAGAGGCTCTTTCGCAAGCTTCGCAGGCGACAGCAGACACTCAGAGAACCATACCTCTTTACTTCCACAAAACACCACGCCCTTACTCTTCCACCAAGCACACTCTGGCCTCCTTTGAAGCAGCCAAACAACTTCGCAGCGGTCGTCACACTGACCTCGAAGTATATGCCATCAGACGCATGGCCTCCAATCTCGAAGAGCCAGGCCGCACCCGAGCCTTGCACATGATCAACAAAGCACTCCACTACAGAAATCTGACACCTCCCAAGCCCAACATTCCTCTTACAGTACCATTCCTGGCTCATGACGATTTCACCAAGCACTGCCAACAATGGCTACAGACCACCATCCAACAACACAAGCATTTAGCCATCCCACTCCACCTTCCCACACACCGTTTACGCGAAGCTGCCCATAAAACACTCCGAGCACAGCTTCACAACCACCGCGCGTGGGAAGACACCTTGCACACTCCTCCAGATCCCAATGACCTCCCGTGTGCTTGCTCTCATCTCAACAGCCTACTTCTTGACCCAGCCACCGCCACCACCAACGGCCACTACATCCTCACCCTGGACCAACTGACATTACCACTACACCTTCGTATTTCATTGACGCCAGCATGAACAGCACTTTCTACCCCAGCAAAGCCAGATACTTTCTCACGTTCCAGGCAGCGTTCACAAAATGGCTCCGGATACAAGGCCTCCCGACTTCCCTCAGCCAACACTTGGAGCCCTTCCTTCAGCATCAATGGCGACTTCACACTGCCCACCTCAAACAACAACCGCGCTTCACAGCCCGCCTGCTCCGCCAGCTTCAAGAATACCTCGGCGACCAAGTTGTGCTCCACCATGCGGACCATGAACTCCAACAACTCCGCATTTTCTGCCCACGCCAATATTTCACCGGAGCGCTCAACACATGGCAAGCTCCGGAACTTTTTGAACCCCTTCCACATCTCCATTCATCCAACATCCACGACCACCTTTCCGCCACCATCCCAGCCAGCCTACGCTCCCGATACAAATGGGGATTCAGGAAAGATTTCACAATCCCAAGTATTGGAGAAGGGACGTACCATCATCTCGTACTTCCACTCCCTCAGTGGCAACCTCTTACGCATCACCAGCGAGCACTTGACATCATTTTGCAACACCTTTTCCCACAACATCCAGGTCAACTGTCCATCCCACAACTATGGCGCCACTTCCATTGCTATCTTACACACACACCAGCCGATATTCCTCTACACGCGACCAACGATGACCTTGTGGGCTTCTTCAACTCAGTGCCCCAACACCGCCTTATTGATGCTGTCCATTCTATGATCCAACAATGGCAGCGCCAGAATGCTACCCACACCTTGACAGTTGACACCAAAGCCACTGGCAACCCCTTTCATCATTCCCACGTCGGCAGACACCACACAAAACATCCTACACAACGCACCCTCCACACCTCCGACATTACAACCATTGTAGCCTTTGCACTCAACACCTGCATTTTCCGGGCATGCAACAACACCTACAAGCAAATCCGTGGGGCTGGGATTGGCTCCCAGCTCTCTCCTGCCCTTTGCAACGTCGCCATCACCCTCATTGAGCATTCTTGGCACCAACTCCATAACAACCTTCTCCAGCACACTGCCCTCCACTTCACCTACTACAGGTACGTCGACAACCGCTTCATCGTGCACAACGAAAACTTTCTCCCCCATCCAGCCATCCAGACCCTCATCCACCACAACTTTTTTGGTGATCCAGTCGAACTGGAAACCGTGGACGACTTTCACCTTCTGGGGTTCAACATTGACCTCCCACAACGGACCATCACCTACATCCAACCCACACGACCCTGGAAAAGCAGGGACCACACGCCGGTAGCCAGCGCTTGGCTCTTTCCGGCTTAGCTTCCAGACTACATGCAATTTACACATACACCTTTCCACCACACAACGCAGCGGCAGCGGCTGAAGAGCTTATCCGGCTGTATGTCCACAAAGGGCATGATCCAACAGCATGCCGGCGTTTTTTTGAGAAAAAGAGCACGATGCCACCGTCTCATGCACTTGCGCCGACTTCGGCTCTGTGTTTGTCAACCCCTGTTCCAAAGGGTGCTGCACTTCTATGTTTTCCTTGTGAAAGCAGGGGGATGGAGAGGACACGTGAGGCTCCATCCAACGAAGCTCCTCACGTGCTCCTAGGATATCATCAGGGACGCCTGATGACGTACCTGCACAAGAAACTGTTGCTCACGCTGTCCAATCTCTCTTTTTGTTTCCATGGTGGTTCCATGATACCTCCCCGAAACCTTTCTTCCGTCAGCCACGTTCGACAGCCACTTTCAGCAGCCGCGCGTTTTCTGCAGTCATGTGCAAACAATGTTGAACAATACTTTTCCACGGACTCTGCCACCTTTCCGTTCCATCACCATTTCTCCTGGGAATTGAGTTAACAGCAAACCAATGTCAGAGTGTGCGCAGGTTCTCCTATATACTGTAAATAAAACAACCACTTGCCAAAGCAAATGCAAGGATCTGTTCGTGCCAAGGTTTGGTCCATGACACTGTCTTCACTGCCAGGAACTGCACGTCTGGCATGCTCTCAGCTACTCTTAGGAAAATGCTGAGGCCCTTTTCGGGGCACGGGCTGACAAAGGTGATAAAGTCGTGCTTCCCTTCCCACGGCTGGTATGGCTCCTGTGGCACTGGGTCAAAATAGGCATAGTCGGCCGCATAGCAGCAAATGGGCCGCAAAGCACCTTCACCCCACTTCTCGACAAACTCAGTCAGGTGCTGAGAAGCACACAGAAGCTCATAAGATGCACAAAGGGAAGAGTGCTCTTTGATCTGCTCCTTCGTTTGCTCTTGACCCCAGGGGCCAACTGGTAGATTGTAGTCGTGAACCATGGCCAGCCTTTTCTTGACCTTCAGCTGGGCGGCAAAATCTAGCACGAAGCGAAAAGAACTGGAGCAAATGCAAAGATCCCACACAGATGCAGGAAATTTGGTCAACAGCTGCTCTCGAGATCCCCAAACTGCAGCTTTCTCCGGCTCACCACGGCCAATCGCGACGTTCAGCTCCTTGGGCCCCTGTTTCGGAGGTGACTTCCAATCAAGAATTAAGAGGTCCACCTTTCGGACGTACTCCTGCCACAAGGGTTGAAGGAAAGGCTTGAGACATCTTGAGACTATTTGATCGAGAGGAGGTCATAAGCTTGGACCACTGGCAGTCTGAAGAGGAATATGGCAATGAAAGGATTCAGACCCATTCAGGCCCCTGGTCCTGCACCTGTCGCACCAAATGTCGAACCATTGCTTGTGTGCTGTGCTTCCGGCCGCAGCCAGGACCCCTCTGACGTTTCTCCAGAGTTTCATCAAAATCCTGCGGTGTCGTGGCTGGACAGAAGCTGCTGCGCTTGAGGCTATTGGAATTTGAACAGGACCAGTAGTTGAGTTTTATATACAGTACGGTCACAATAAGGATCACGCATACATAAGGATACTGTGGGACTGTATCGTAGTGGCCGCTTGACTGCTGTGGAAGTCCAGGAGCTGGCTGACTGTGCCATCAAAAGCAACAAACATCAGGGTTCCAGTTTGCAGTCTACATTGTAGTCAGTCAGACATCGTCTCTAGTGTACTGGACCACCAGAAGTATCAGTCATCCAATCATTCGCCCCAATGCTACACAGGACCAATGACTGCCGGATTTCTTGACCAAAAGAACAACTCCCGGCAACTGAAACTCCTGGAAGGTGGTCACCACCACGATGTCCATTGCTGCCAGGTCTCCTCCTATATATCAGTTGGCTTTGCACTTGAGCCACTGCGTGAAAATACGAGAATCGTTGCCGCGGGCTTGACAAAAGGAAAGGGGAAACCATCACTCTTATTATCTCTTATTGTTGGAGGCACCGGCAGATCCAAATTAACCTGGACCTAAACGCATCCGTAACAAAAAGTCCCGTCACAGTCACATGAACAGTGGACCAAAAGCAAACTCTGAGGCATCTACGCATTCTTGATGTGCCACCTGAAGCCATCTTTGCAGATTCGGGTGCCAAAAATGCGGTTGCATGCAAACAAGGCCAACAAGAACTCCTAAGACAGGAAGGAAGCAACATACCAGAACCATTTTGTGGAAGTGATCCTTCTCTAGAAATGAATGCTTCATGCTTCATGCCTGGACCAAGTCAATGCACACATTGACACAACGTAGCTTTTCGACAAAGAAGTGTTGGTTTCACATCACAAGTAGAAAGTGACCGTAGTGTGTGGGCAAGTGATGGAAAAGGCATCCCGTTCTACAGTAGCACTTGTACCTAGCGACCCCGCAACCTTCAATCGGTCAATTTCAAGACCATGTTCTCGAAGCCTCGGGCAAAGTTCATGTCACATGAACCACACCAATCATCATGGCACGAGTACAATGTTATCATAAACGTTACCCCCTTGTGCCTCACATGTCAAACAAGACTTGAAAAGACTGGACATGACGGTCAATGGAGGATCCAACTTATCCCTCAATTTCCTGAGATCAAAAAAGGTTACTTAGTGGGCTAACGAGATCTGAAGCGTCGTTGGCATTGCTATAACAATGGCCAAAGGATGTCAAATGTTTCTAGATGTTTCTAGAACAAAGGCCTGATATATACATTCTGAGCTTCTTACTGGCCTCTGAGCTCATTCAGAATGCCCTCCACATCCTGCAACCTTTGGGACAGCAATGCCCGATCCCTGGCGCAAGCTTCGTGTTCTCTTGCACACTCCTGCTTCTCAGCCCTTAGCCTTTCCATCTCCTGAGCCTGGCTTTGAAGTCGACTTTGAAAATCATCGCTTTGCAGCTGCAAACGCTGCATGGCACTCCGTGCCTCTGCTAGCTCTCGATGCGCGGCGTCCTGATGTGCCGCTTGCTCTTGTTTTGCTCGGGCCAACTCCTCAACGGCATGGTTGAGGCTTCGGATCTGGCTTTGCCAACCACCGGTCTCAGCTTCAAATCTCTGAATGGCAGCTCTGGCATCTGCAAGCTCACCGGCCAAAGCATCCACCTGTCGACCAGCATGTTCCTCAGTGGCTCTCTGGGACTGCATCATGTCGCTTAAAGCTTTGCGTAAATTTTGCATCTCCGCGGCCTGCCCTTGCATCACCTCTCCAAACTCCCGGCGGACAGCTTCCTCTGCAGCCTCCTTTGCAGCATGCAACTGCCCGTTCAGCGCAAGCTGAATTTCGTGCCATTGCCGCTGCTGCTCATCCTGTACCGCCTGGAGCCGTTGCCGCATCAGTTCCTGCACTTGTGCCACCTTGCTGGCAGCGGAACTGTCCTCACAGAGGCTTCTGTTCAACATAGCAAAACGCACGTCCACAATCGTACCAGTACCCGTACTTATTCTTCACTTGCTTTTTACTTAGCCAAGTGATTCAAAAGTTTTTTCGAGGCTTCTATCAAGCGTCGGTCACCAGCGGCCCATGCATGAGGCCGGAGTGAGGGGAGGCAATGGCCTCCCCCGCTGCCCTTGTGCAGGAGCTGCCACGACTTGGTGGCAAAGGGGAGCTTGAGGTCTCACCAGGAGCTCCCCTTGCGCTGTTCATGGCCATTTGGTCACGAAGTGCTTGGCCATATTTCTCCTTTTTCTCCACCTCGATCCGCCGGTCCAATGGATCCCATCCTGCCATGTCGTCCAAAGGAAAACGTCCAAGCTCTTAGCTCACAAGGCTCACAACCAAAGAAATATTAAAACTACTACAGTACTAAAACTTGCTTTTTTAAGGGCAGGGGGGTAGGCCGCTACAGGTAGTAGCTAGAGGTAGCTAGTTGCTAACAAGTAAGCTTCTAGGTACAGGACGCTACTACCTTGGACGCAGGATAGCTCGCGCTTCAATTCATTTGGTTCCTAGATATTTCGGGAAACTTAAGCATATTCACAGCCAGAGTCTACGCCATGCCTTTCAAGTCTGCAAGTCCACGACCACGCCTGCCATCGTCTGTGTTGAAACTAGATTTAGATGGCACTGATGCTCTCTAAAGTTCTAAAGCTTCCAGCCATATATCAAAAGCTCTAGCGCAAAGGGCAGCTGCAGTTGGTACCAACAAGGGTGCCAACTCCGTCGTATGACTGAGGACTACAATGGAATGACTGAGGCCAAGACTCTCCTGCCATCATCTCTGAAAGGGAATCATCCCGGTGCATGGCTCACGGCTCAGTTGCGAAGAACGGGATGGTTCAATATGCGGGCCCGCGGGCCCACTGTGAAAGCTGGGGTCAGCTGGCATGTATATAGTATATAAATAATATATAGTCAAATCGTCAAACCAATATTCATCTAATGGAATATGATTGCATTGGCATACGGCTTGTCCACAGTGTCCTTTGTCGAGGCCTCGTAACATGCTAGGGCCGCTAGGGTTAGAAACTTCAGTTGGATACTGCCGGTGGGCATTGATGTTTTCTGAAACTGTACATGGCAGCTGGGGGCACTTACTACATCTTACTAATTACTATATAAATATTAATGGTTCCCCGATCACTGTGCAGTTTCATCAAGTTTTTTTGTTCGCATCTCCATACAGTAATTGGAATCAGGAGCCGGCGCAGTTGAGATATCTGATGAGATCACATGGAGCATGACAGCATGACGATGACAGACTTTGGGTGGCAATGCTGGAAGCAAGCGCATAAAGAGAGAGAGAGAGAGAGAGGGAGGGAGAGGGAGGGAGAGAGGGACAGACCGAGGGAGAGGGAGAGTAGCCGATGCTCAGCGACAACCCACCAAGAGAACAACAAACAAAAGCCAAGCGCATTATGTTCTCATTACCTGTGAAGCTGCTTCCGCATGTTTTGAGTCTGCTGCGAAAGGTCTACAGGACTAAGCAGTAAAAAGGAAGAGAGTCCGGCCGGGGCCAGCAAAAACGAAAGCAAAGTCCGTCCACAACGAACGTGCAAATAGTTTCGTAGTTCTGCAACCCCTAGGCCCTAGGGCCCTAGGCATCCAATGCTAATGCACATTCATCTGCTGCCCTTCTCACTGCTTCATGCGGATCACTTCGAAGCAACTCCACCTGCATAAGAAACTCTTTCCCTTCCGCACCAAAGTGAGCCAGGGCCTCTGCCGCAGCAGCCCGCACCAAGGGATCACTGTCCTCAAAGCAGCCAGCCACTTCCTCTGCAAAGTCTGCAGCTCTCATGTTGCCCAAGGTCTTCAGTGCAGAGCACCTGACACCGCTGTGGCCCTCCCGGCTATGCTCCACAGCCATGCGGCAAACAATGGCCGCATAAGACTCCGCTTCTTCACCACAACTGGCCAGTGATTCCAAAGCTTGTGCCTGTACCGCTGGCACTGGATCGTCCAACAACACGGCCAAGTGATCCACGTAGAGCGAAGACTCTTGCAAGTGCCCCAATGCCTTTGCGGCCCTCTGCCGAACGGTTGCCTGAGAGTCATTCAATAGGGCCAGCAACATGTCAATGCCTTCCTCTTGGAGCAGCGCACCGAAGGCGCCAAAAGCCCAACATGCAGCTTCGCGCAATTGACTTTGAGGATGCTCCAAAAAGCTCAGGAGCTTCCCTTTGTGACCACTAGCATAGCTTCCCATGCTGGCCAAAGAACGGATCAACGAGGCTGTAGCCTCCGTTGGCAGCTGCTTGTCAGAAAGCAGAGAAGCAATCGAGTCGGCATATTTGCCACCTTCATCACCCATGAGAGACAAAGCAAAAGCTGCTGCGCATTCTGGCCGGCGCAATTCCACACCAAGGCGCGGCTCGAGGCCAGTGGCAGCCAATGCCAGCGCACTGTCTTGTCCAGGAGTCAACAAGGAGGCCACCTCTGCGGCACAATTCAGCGCCTTCATGTGTCCTAAAGCCATGGCAGCAGCACATTGTCCAATTGGATCTTTCAGCAGCTTCTGTGTCTCCGCAAGGGCACGCCGCGTACCCCGAGGACCTAAGGCAGCAAAGAAGGCCACAGCTGCCTCTCTGGTCTGCAAATCCGGGTTGGCAAGCAATTTGGCAACTTTCCCTGCAAAACGTTCACTAGCTTCAGCGCAAGAGGTAAGAACCTGCACCGCCTCGCAGCGCGCTCCTGCATTCGCGTGATCCAAGCACCGAACAACTGCGCTGGCCAGCATTTGGCCATTTTCTCCCCAAGATCTGGCAGCTTTCAAGGCTGATTTCACAACGTTCCCATCGCTATCTGCTAGGCTAGGCCGCAGTTCCTCTGCCAGGTGCCAGGCATCCATGTTTCCCATGCATTCAGCACTGGCACTGCGAAGCTGTGCATTTGGATCTGCCAAGAAATCCAAAATTTGAGGCAAATGCTCTGTTGCCTTAAGCTTGGCCAGCACGTCAATGGCAGCAAGCTGCACACTGGCAGCATCATCCTCCAACGCTGCAAGCACTTGCGGCATTAGCTGCCGGCCAATATCTGGCTGTGACTCCACAATGGCAGAGAGCAGCTGCAGTGCCCAGCTCCGTTCTTCTGGGCCTTCTTCTAAAGCATAGAGCAAATCCGGTGTGTCAGGTGCTTCCTGCTTCATTTTGGTCAATGACTTCGCAAATGTGGCCTCTGCCTCGTTGAAGGCCTTCATAGGAAACATCGTCCTGCCAGGCGCATAGCGGCCTCGATAGGCTCCGTTGACAGTAGGTGCCATGTCGAGGACTTGTGCCCCGTTTGGGTCTTCCTTTCACCGCAAGGTGCCAACCAACCAGCAGGCTATTTGATTAGTGCTCAGTGAGAGTGGTTGGCAGATTGAATCTTGAATCTTGAGATTTGGGGCCTATGGCATACTATGGGCCGTGACAAAGCTTCGCGTGCTCTTCGATGCGTGCTTGAGCCCCAACTGGGCAAAAGCTCGCAATGTTTGCAAAGATCGCGGCAACACGAATTACGAATCAGGGTCAAAATGTTGATCCCACTTCTTGACCCGACCCTTAGATCATTCTATGATTTCAAGATATTTCAAGCAACTGGATTTATCGCTCAAGCCTGTGCAAGACTGATTCATGTGTTTCTCAACTAACCTGTTGAAGGCCGATTTCTCGCCGCTACCTGCATCCATTCGGCAGACATCCCCAAGCCCTGCCAAAAGCAAACTGCAGCAGCAATTGTTGACAGGATTTCTGCTGAGAGCTTACCACCTTGCTCGATTAGACTGGATGTCCTGTTTGTTTGTTTCATCGCCTTATATCATATCACCTTTGACCAGCCCCGAATGGCTCTTGGCTCTCAGCTCATCCCAGGATTGTACAGAAACTTGCCAGCCCCCGCAAGTGTAAGTGTCCCCGGCTCATTCAGAAGCCTCATGGCCTGAACGACGTTGCTTCAATGAAACGGACAAGCCAACAAGCCCTGGAGAAAGCCTACAAGCAACTGCCTACAGCAAGGGGAGCTGACGCAAGCCGAAGCCAGCAGCGCCTTCTCCCAATCTTTGTCGTCTACATTTCCAGCCATGGCCTTCAGATCTTGCACTCGAAACTCCCTGCAACCAGTTGCACGCACGCGTCGATCCATGAACTGGGTCAGTCGATCCACCAAGGCATTTGATTTTGATTTGCCCTTCCGCGTTGGAACTTGTAAGAATTCTTCCTGGAGGCAAAAGGCAGATTATTGCTCAAGCATTGGTGGGCAAGACAAGTTCAAAGGCTCAACACATTTCAGAAACACCCTTGACATCCTTTGACATGCTTTGAGATCGAGAACGAAGATGTTTAGGGGACTTGTTCAAACATCTCTGTACAGAAAGCATTGTGCAGTTGCTCAGCCCTGCCTGAAAGTTGAAGCCATGACGAAGGAGTTCCAAGACATCCTCCACATCTGCTTTGGTGACCACGTCTCGGAGTTCTGCCCGCGCCCTCGCCTCACTCAAGCGGATTAAGGCTTCGAGCTGCCGCGGCGTCACCAGGAGCGCACCCTGCGGCCCATTCCGTCGCTCCAAATAGAACTCCTGGCAAGGAGGGTTGGAATCCATCATGCTGATTTCTAAGAACACCTGAACCCACCCCCTTTCTTTACCATTGAGTAATCACTCGTCACGTGAGGCCGAATTTGCAGGAGGGGATTTCCTCCCACTGAAGCATCAATGCAGTTTGACGTCCTTGATGCGCTGCTTGGCCTCTTTACTCAGGGTGGGGTGAGCATACCGCTTGGCATAGCGAAGGTAGGTCTGCAAAAGCTCGGCCGGAAGAGCTTGCTCTGCACTTGCCTGCGTCGCATCAGGGGCACAAAATGAACCGACAACATATTAGAGTGGGGGACAAAGGCTTATTCATGCATGTGCCCCATCGGTTGTGCAAGGTGTTGATCAATTCCGAAATACTTATGTTTATATATTATATATATATATGTAACTCATGTACTTATATAAGATCTTAAGGCAGCTCATTGCTAAATTACATGTGCAGAAGTTGTGCCGGATGCTCATACATTCATTGAAGGTTCCTCAAGATTTGCACACTTCCTGGCATGCAGGCCTGTGTCAACCTGCTCTTTAAGCTCTCTCGGCCCGATTCTGCATCAGCTGTGTTGGACCAATCTTCTGGCTGGGGGTCTGGGCGGCGTGCATTGTGCATGCGCTGGTTGATGATGTGCCGAGACATGGCAGAATCCTGGCTGCGCATTGGAATGATGAACGCCGACAATTGGAGGAACACTTGTCCGGCGGGTTGAAGGTTCGGGGGCTATGACCCAAAAACCGAATGACCAATGGCGAACATGTCCTGGTTGGGATCATCCTCGGTGCGCATGAGGAATATGATATCAAAACGACTCAGGAGGGCTTCAGACATCACACCCTTCAGGTTCTGCGCAAGTGTCAAGCTCCTTAGCTTCCACATGAAATGCGCATCATGGGTCGTCGAGTCGTCAAGCATCTTTTTCTTGCACATGCGCAATGACGCTGACACTCCATAATGGAGAAAAAAATCAAAGGCTGCGGCAACATGTGCATATAATATATATATATAATTATATATATATATACACTTGGACATGCACCTGCTCCCCTTGCCCTTGTCTTGAGACCGAGTTTCATATCCCAGGAGCCCTTGCTGGGATTGGCTGCGGTGACCACGGTGGTTCTGGCAGGTAAGGTGCAAACAATCCCTGCCTTTGCAATGGATACAGTCTGTTGCTCCATGGCTTCCAGCAAGGACTGCTGATCCGAGCCCATCTTGTCAAACCTGAGGCCAGCAAAGAATCAACCCGCACATCCCAAGTCCGCTTTCAGCAACTCATTCTGGGGCAAATCTAAAACGTGAACCCGAACAACCACTCGCCAACTATATGTATATATATATATATGTGTGTGTGTATATGCAACCCGCATTTGCATCAGCCTTGGCTTCCTCACCATCTCTTCCACATCCTGTCAGCAAATGTGCTGTTCATTCAATCCTTTGTAACTATTTTGTATATGCCACTTCCTCCACCAAGATCCTGCACATGCGAACGGCATCACATGTTCTGTCTTATTTCGTGGAATTTCGGCGAAGGAGCCACGGGGTCAGTCCAACACCCCAGGATCACCTTCTGCCCGCGCCCCCATGCAGCCACGAAACTCATCAATGCAGCAAAGGCCATTGTCGGCCAGAATCAAAGCCCCAGCCTCTAAAGCAAACTCTCCAGACGGATCTCGCACAACAGAGGCTGTCAATCCTGCAGTTGATGAGGAATTCCCAGAGACGTACACGCCTGAAGCGGATGTTGCGTGAGTGGCCTTTTCCAAATTTTCCAAATGAAGAAGTGACCCTTTCCAGCTACTAGCAACAAGAAGCCACTAAGGGCTCCTGGCATCGCTACTAGGAGCAAGGACGCTACTAGGGGCTCCTGGCCGTACTACTAGGAGCAAGTAGCTACTAGTGACAACAAGCTACTAGGCTAAAGCAGGCTGCCCGAGGCGGCGCTGCTGCCGTCAAATCGGCTCAAACAACAAAAGCCAAAGGTCGAAAAAGGAATCCATCTGCTGATAGCTGCTCACAGTCAACCCTGGCCTCGGTGACTCAATCTTGCAAGGGCTCTCAGCAGCTCACTCTTGCCAAGGCCTGGATCTCCCAACAGGAGCACATGCACATCACCTCTGCGTCGCAGGCGCTGCTCTGGACCATCTGAACGGATAGGAAGTCCTCAAGGTCGGCTAAAGAATGCAAAAGCCACTCTTGCAGACCAAAGCAGGATATATAAAAGGCCAAAGCAGCTCCAAGAAGCTGTGTCGACTAGTTACAGCATGCCAAAGCTGGTTAGTTGGGCCCTGAAGCTGCAGATCCCGTTGGAGATTGATGGACAGGGCACTTGCGGCCCAAACAACGAAGACAGCAAGCAGGGTGGCCTTCTCTGTGAGAAGACATTTGATCAAAATCTCTCCTTGAAACCCATAGCTCATCCAATGGCGAATACAAGTAACACGCACGAGGCTGTCAAAACACGACTCATGTTTCTTGAGCTGTAAAGTTGAAATGAGGTTGCCTTAGGCTCACAAATACTGCGCACTCGACCAGTCAACCGGCCAGGTTGCTCCGTGCTTTTTGTTGCAAATGAAGGGGCCGTGGAAAGCAAAAATTATGGCATTCCAGGATTGCATATCTTATAATAATATGCATATACCATAATCCACTACCAGTATTGTCTGAGGAAATGCGAGTAAGCACAGGAAAGGAATCTAAGGATGGAAAGAAATGAAAACATTGAGAGCCCTCCGGTGCATTCATTGAGACAACCAGCCTGCTGCCCCAACTTGAGATTCTGATCCTACTGTACCCGGTGCCCCTCTCCTCCGAGCACTGCAAGGAGCAAAGCTGCCTTCACCAAGTGCTGGCCATAAATGTGCTGGCAAAATGATGCCACCAAGAGTGGCAACTTTTCCTTGCTTCGATAAAATCGCGGCCGAGTGTTTCCTCTGAGCATGATGCCCTGGCCCCCACACGTCCAAAAAGAGAATCAAGACTGACAGGCCGAGCGACGTGCTCCTTGTAAATCTCCCGAATGAAGGACAGCTGCAAAGGTGAGAACTCGTCCTCGCACTGGGCCGTGCCAGTCCGATTTAGTGAGTCAGCACGGCGATTGTTCACAACTGCCTTCACCTCCAAAAACAATATGTACAAGGACTTTGTGGGCGCTTGGCGGCCATCACCACCGCCCGACATGCCCCCCGATGTTGGCATGCAGCGGACAATTCCATAGACAGTCACTACATCCCCGGGCACACAGGAGCCGACCAGCCCACGCTTCAGATCACAGTCCACAGTACGAGGCATGCGTCTTTGTGGTCCATTTCCAGCTGCCATTTCAGCATAGTCTTCTTGCAAACGGACACGCTGCCAATCAATAGCTTTGCACTTCTCTCTGTTGACACTGAATCGCGCAAAACGGCACTTCTTGGGACAGCTGGATGGATATTCAAAGCGGCCCTCGACTGCTTTCATGACCACTTCTGTGGAACAGCGACCGCATGTAAAACTCAATTCGGTGATCAAAGGAGAAATGTTCGCAGCACGCACCACCGTTCCTCTGAGACCTATATAGCGATCAATCATCTCTGATCGCACGGCTTGGACTGGTTGGTCTAACTCCGGCGCCACCAGCTCTACATCAACCGGCCGCATGGCAGGGCTCTCTATGTTCTCATGGAGCTTTGGAGTGTGTCTCTGAAGAAGGGCGCATGCAAGATCAAAACCCAATCCAATTTCGGCGAGGCACTTGTCGGCCTGACACATAAGTCTCTTTGCCAAATCAAACTCTGAGTTTGGGGACCCGTGTCTTGCAGAGCGAAGTTGATCTAAAGAGAATCGGGCCCTCCGGTGTTGCAGCGCTTCCGAGATCTCGGGGACAGTTGAATTGAAGGCCACACAGGTAAAGGCCATGCACCATTGAAGCGCCTCTTGAGCTTCCTCTCGCCTCATCACACCTCCTTCACCTAGATCCGAAGGGAAATACGCAGGGAAAAAACTAGACAAGTTCTGATAGTCCAGCGGCCCAAGCTGCAACGGTTGCACTGCCATGGTGCACTAATCTGTTCGACTACTCGTGGACCAGCAATTGTTCAGCGTAACATGTTGCGGGGAGGTACCAGGGCCTTGGCATGGTTGGTTTGTCTGCCATTTGTCCTTCGTACATCTTTCAATCCAAGCTTTTGTCTTCTTTGAGTCTTGCTGGCCCGCGCTATTGCAATCTGAGGTGCGTTGCCTTTCAGAATGATACTGATACTTGGCCCAAATTTCCATAACTTTACAAAGGTCGCTCAGAGGTAGAGGCAGCGGTTGAAAGTCCCTGTCCCTTTGAGAACAAGCCAACGACACCAAAAAGCCTGTGATGTCACGTTGCAGGTATTTGTTTCAAGTAACTTTCTAGGGCTATCTTGGAAGCTGCCCTCGAGTGTGCACGACCCTCCTTTCATCTTGTGATCTGCATGTCTGTCTATCCCTCCCATGGCTAACACACAGGCTCTGAAGGGATTGACTATGTACACGGCACACGGCCTACAGGACCTGTGTGCAGTGGTCGCGTGCAAAATACAAGGAGATAAGGTGCTTGAAGCAAAAATCTACTGCCACCTCTCCCTAATGAATTCCAGCTCCTCCTCTGGCAGCAACCAGAAGTGGCCATCTCGATTGTAGATGTGAAAAGCTGGTGGTTCTTCCTGGCAGCATGACCTCGAAAGAGGCGGCATCCAAACGAGAACAATATAGAAACATTGGATTGCAGAAGCATTCTCCATCACCTGTACTTGGCCAAGGATCGGCGAGTTGCGATAGTACTCAGGTTTCTCTGGAACATGAATCTCATCCAGGCAAAGGTACACCTCCTTGGTAATGAGTCACCAAATGTTTTGCAGCCAAGGTATGTTGAATATCGACCATTTAATGGATATCTGATATCTGCCATCTGTGTCCAATTGTTTCCCCCATCCCCTCTGCAGCTTGGATTCAGCTCTTGCCACGCGGTCATCCTGTTCTCCCCAGTGCGCTGAGACATTCTTCCCCCAGGCTGTGGAAGTGATTTGGCCTGCCTCGGCAAGTTGGAGCCTTGTAACACCAGCACTTCATGATCCTAGTAGATTATTGAAGAAAGCAACAAAATGCAAAAGCAGCATGCTGCATAGGTTCCCTTGCTCTTTCACAAAACTGGCGTGCTCAAATGGTTCCATCAAACAAAGACGGGCTCTGGGACTTTCATAAGTTTGTTAGGATGGTTCCATAAACACCATCAGGACTCCAGCTCTACACTCAGCAGATTTAGGAAGTTTGCAAATAGCTGCGAGGCACGCAAGACTATATCTAGACCTATAGGCTATAGGCCAGTTATCCTTGAGGTTTAGGCAAAAGCCCATTGCGCCTCGCTTGAGCTAGGGCTATGCCGTTCTATGCCAAGCGGCCCCAACACCCTGAGCCAGGAGATGTTGGCGAACGCTCTGGGCGCGAGCTTGAGAGCATTTATCGGCAATGCGATGGCTGGGGGCATAAACTCCTGGGAGCATTCAAAAGCCCGATTTTGTGCACCTAAGATGTCAGGTCTCTACAATGTGTTCTTGTTTACCATGTCAATAGACATTATATAGGCATAATTAATCAATTAGTCAGGTCAGTGTCCAAGACTTCTTGCAAAACCGTGCAAATTTTGTGCGGGTGGAAGTGTTCCCCTGCCATCCTGCATGGGCATCCACATGAACTTTGGCACGTGGAAAGCGCTTCGCAATTGCAGCAGCAGTGTGAATGAATGGGACTGCAGATGCCAATGGAGTCTTCCCGCCTCCATACCCTCGGCGGCTCAATTGAGGAATCTAAAGTAGTGAAGCAATGAGAACACGACCTTTCTTTCTTCCTTTCCTTTTTTCTGTTTCTATTGGCGATGGCCTCCAACCTAATAGCGATAGCCTCCAGCCTGCTAGCGATCTGTTACAACAAAGGGACACAGGCGCACTCCCACTTCGGATCTCCAATTGGTCCAATAGCCTCTCGGGTGTCAGCCAAGTTGCCAAAGCGTACATGGTTCGAATCAGGTTTGTCACATAGCCTAGGCATTTTGTCATGCGTTGTCCAGAACTGGTTCAATGATTGGTTTCCCCATATATAGTTGTAGGAAAGCAACATATTTTGTGAATGTCCTGCTCTTGCAGGCCGTGACAAAAGCATATACTGACTGGGGTTGAATCGAGGCTGACAATTTTTAAAGGAATTCTTTTTCGCGCTCGTTTTGGGATGTCTTTTTCTGGTAGCGCTTTCACAAAAAAGGATGCGAAAACAAATTCTTTAAAAAAAGTTCCTTGAATCGACGGGTGGCTCGCTCATCGCCAAATTGAATGCAAGATGCTCCAAAAGGCAGCAGTGACCATTCAGGGACCAGTCTTCGGCCCGTCGTTTGACCAAATCCGGCTTGCAAATAACTTGATGGAGTGATGTGCAGCAACTTGCCAAGAGTGCTAGGGTGATTGGATCACAAGCAGATCCAATCAACTCTCCTTCTGGGGATGCCTTGAATCCACACAGCTGTGAATGTCTCCAATTGAGTCTAATAGTTGCTGATAGCTTTTGCAAAATCATTCAGTCCTATATGCATTGCACAGGTCAACTCACAAGAAGAATAAAGGAATGTGAACCTGGTCGCTATAACAGGCGCCCTCTTTTTGGTTATCAGGCCCTCAGATACCAAAAAAGGGCGCCCCTGGGGTGGTTTCCATATGTTCTCTAGCTCTCCATCTCTCAATCTCTCTACCTGTCTCTCCAATTCTATCCAGCCACCTACCCGCCCACCCGCTCGTCCCACTAGCCAAGCATTGACCTGTCTGCACTCTACCCACATCCATCTATCCACATCTACTTATCATCTTTTTACATCTATAGCCACATCTACTTAAGAATCTCTCTGTCTCTCTGTGGCTCCATCTCCCTATCTCTTCAGCAGGTCTCGCTATCTCTCTGACTTCCATCCATCCATCCATCCATTGGTCCAGCCATCCATTCTACACTCTACACACATCCATCTACCCGCATCTACTATCTACTTATCAGCTTCTTACATCTAGCCACTAGCCACATCTCTAACAATCTGTCTGTCTCGCTATCTCTCTGACACTCTCTCCCCATCCATAGCCATCCATCGACCTACCTATATATATACACACACACAAGTGCACTCAAAATGCAAATGATGCAAGCCATCAAACCTGCGCGTCCTCGACATCACCAAGACCCAAAAGTCGTCTCTGAAACACGCATTCCTCCTTGACTCATTTCAGTCTAAAGTCTAGAAGTTCGGGAAATGCTGTCGAAGGGCCAAGAAGGACACAAGATCGTTCTGGTCAATTTGGGCGCGAGATCTGGGAAGATGGGCCTCGTGATGTGAAGCTAACGAGCACTGATTGGCATGAAGCCATCTGAATGAAAAGCAGCCACATTCGCACGTCATGGCCATCTCTGCGCCCTCCGAGCCAAAGCTTAGGGAAATATGGACACATATGGGCACAGGGAAACATGCACACGCCCAGTTAAGTCAAGTCATGGTCATGATTCATGATTCTCCATATGAGTTCTCTGGGTTCCACATGAACATGAGAAGCGCTCGGACCCCAAATAGGGTGCTGTGCTGCTGCACCGTTTCTTTCTCTGCTTTGTAGCTGAGTTCTGAAACGCTGTGAGTCTCTGAGCTGTCCTTCGTACACTCAGAGCCTCCCACAACTATTCTGCGATGATTTCCTGAAGGACAGTGCTGTTAGGCTAGGTGAAAGGCTGGCTAGGAGGAGATGGCAGGGTCTGGCGACACAGGAGCTTTGCTGGCCTTTCTGTCTATCACTTGATCACCACTAGCCAGCTTTTCGCCAATTCCTTGAAAGTCTTGCTTTGGGCAGGTCCAGCCTCCAACAAACTCAACCCTCTGTGAAGCTGTGCTGGTCAGAGAATGCTGGGCTTTTCCTGTTGGCCGATGTGCGGGAGATCGCTGGGCATCACCCGCCCGCGTCGCATTCCTCGGCTTGGAGTGAAACTTGCTGGAGTTTCCTAAGCAAGAACGCTACTAGGGGCTCCTGGCATCGCTACTAGGAACAAGAACGCTATTAGGTTCCTTTTGCTACTAGGAGCAATGGGCATCGCTTCTAGGAGCAAGGACGCTACTAGGGGGCTCCTGGCCTTACTACTAGGAACAAGGACGCTATTAGGAACTACTCTTCCATTTCTGACCCGCCAAGCCGATCACATCCAACAACTGAGGCTTGGGCCAAGCCCTGACAGCGTCAGAGGGTGAGAGGGGCATTGGGCCCTGTGGTACTCCGTTGGCACTCTGAATTAAGCTGAATTCAAGACAGAGACGAGCTGAAAACCAGTGGCAGCTGGCAGGAAGAGCATGAGGCTCTCGGGGTCGGAGTGGAGAAAACTGTCGAAGCCAAATTCATCGCCCACTTCCTGAGGCGCAATTTGCACATAGAAGCTTCTTGTTCCTAGTAGTACGGCCAGGAGCCCCTAGTAGCGTTCTGGCTCCTAGTAGCTATGCCAGGAGCCCCTTTAACGTTAACGTTCTTGCTCCTAGTAGCGATGCCAGGAGCCCCTAGTAGCGTTCTTGCTCCTAGAAGTTTGATAAAAACACGGCAACAGTACAAGTCAGAGAAACAAAACCAAACAACCACTGTCAAAGAAAATGCCAGGTGCATCCGCCCCATGGTGAAGTGAACTTGACCTCAGTCTGATTTGGCAAGTCAGAGTCTGGGTGGTACAAAAGCGGAGTGCTTCCGGGTTGGCCGATCAGTACTGTCGAGCTGTTGGATAAAACGCCGGCCTTGCTGCCAGGCCACCCGCTAACTGCTTTCGAGTAGTATGCAGGTCGTTCAGGAAACTCTGCCCCAGCAATCTGGACATAAACTTCTGCTCGAGCAACTCTCTCATCTGATTCTCCCCAAATGCTGGAGATGTCTTTTCCCCAGGCAGTGAATGTGATGCGATTGGCCTGCCGGCGGCGAGCTCAACTTGACTCTTGCGAGCTAGGCCAAAACGTGTGAACTGAAATGTGCAAGTAAACCGCATAAGCTGGCTACGTGGAGCTGCTAGCTGCATTGAACTCTCTGCATGAAAGCTTTAGATACAGTACCTGATGATACCTGTATACTGTATATGATTGTATATGTATATAGTTGCATAATGTTCTCCTGATGATGGCATTCCAAAATTTCCACAAATTTGTGGGATGCGTGAATTGATATCCAATCACTCAGCCAAGACTCATCAGCACCATAGCTGATCAACTCTCGCAAAATGGCCTTCGCTCTTGCCTTCAGGGAAACGCTAGCCGCTAGGCACGACTGTCAGTGATTCAAACAGCAGCTTCTTACTCACCAACATTCTCTGTCGGCCTGGGAGCAGTTTTTCGCCACAAACCGACCAGGCGCGCGTACTCCTCTGACCAAACACATGGGATTGGTTGGCACAAATGCATTGGGCCGACATATATGGGGATGTGGAACCTATCAGTCGTTCCTGCAGCTCCTTCTTGAACATGCAACTGAAGCTTGATCAAATGCCAGCTGAATGCGCGTGACTGAAAGTCAATGGCTGCCACACCAGGTGGAGTGGATGCACCCAAATATAATTCTCGGTCTATAGAGTAAATGAAAGCGAAACCACACTCCGGGCCCACGAGTCTCTCTCTATCAGACTGACTTGAAAAAAGAAGAAAAAGTGCGCCCGTCCAGCATGAGCATCGATGTGAATATTGGCTTCCTTGAATCGCAGCGCGAGGTTGGCTGCAGCCCTGATGAAAGGCAGTGACTCTTTCCGCACGACTGTTCCCCCACCTTGGCCTCAGCACCAGGGGACTGCAAAACGGGAAGGAAAGCTCAGAAAAAGCGATGCAAACATCAGCAACCAAGAAAAAATGCGAGAGAGAAAAAGGAGCAAGCAAATTGGGCGGGGTTTTAATTTGGTCTCGGCTTGCTGCTATTTACAGCAGTTTGGGCGTCCTGTTTACAATCCTTTGGACATACATCCATTGCATCCGCAGCTGATGTCGGCAGTTGGGGCATCCTCTAAATTTTACCCTCAACTGGCTCACCACAGGTAAGCTACGTTGGAAGGGTTCCTTCCTCCTAAACTTTACCCTCGGTTGGCTCACAAAAGCTACGTTACGTTGGAATGGTTCTCCCTCGGAATGATCCCCCTTCCTGATCCAAATGTTGCCCTCAGTTGGCCCACAACGGGCATGCTACGTTGGAGTGGCTCCTTCCTCCTCTAAATCTTGCCCTCAGCGGGTGGCTGTAGTTGTATATAAGGAACAGGCTTGCTTTGGATGCCAGCCTAGCTGCAGCCAAGGAATGCCAAGGAAGCAATAGGGAGGAATGATGAGTCAGCTTGAGAAGACTTAACACAAATTTTGTACATATAAGTTGTTGGTGCAGTGCAGCATGGTCGACACTTCAACCATCTTATATATATATAATAAAGCAATTCAGTTTTCGTGGCAGGCGCTGCAAGTGGAGGAAATGGTGATAGTGATTTCCTGGCGCTGGAGGGGTTGAACCAAACAGAACAAAAAATAAAATAAAAAACCACCAAAAACAGAACAGCAAAGGAAACAAAAGCAAAGGCCCGCACAAAAGGCATTAAAAAAAACAAAAATAGCAAAGGCCCGCACCAAAAAGTATTACTTTAAAAAAATGCAAAGGCAAACACCAAAAGACAAGCAGCAAAAGCAAAAAGCAAAAAATCTTAAAAACAAATTGAGGTTTAAAAAAGAAGAATGTAAAAAATGCCAATCGATGAAAGATTGAGAATTAACAAGTGGCCAGCAACAAAGAAAGGAAGCTTGTCCCAGCTAATGAATTGCGTTGAGGTGCCGAAGTAGATGTGATTTCCACAGGCACTTCCACAAATCTTCAGGGCCAGCTGCCCGCATCCCATCTGCTGGAACGTCATGGACAGTGTCAGGCCCACAGCATGTGAGGACACAGACGCTACGCATAGTCTTTCGACCCCAGAGTGGAACACATTGATGCACAGCCTGGACCGAGCACAGGCGCTTTTGCTGTGCGGGTGCCAGGCCCGCCGAGAAATACGGGATTATATACACCTCGCCGCTACTAGGAGCAAAGGCATCGCTACTAGGAGCAAGGAGCAAGGACGCTACTAGGGGCTCCTGGCCTTACTACTAGGAACAAGAAGCTACTAGGGGCTCCTGGCATCGCTACTGGGATTATCATGTGTTTACGTTTGATTGGTGCCCACCAGCTTTTGCAGTGCCAACTCACTCCGGAGCAACACAATACCTTTTGATACCTTTTGCATCAAAATCAATCGATTGCCACAACATACAAAATGCTCATTCAGATTCAGAAATCTGGCGCGCTGACATGGAACTACCAATGACAACAAAGACCTATACTATTTAAATGTCCTGCCCTTCGCGCTCGTGGAATGGTGTTGGGAAGGCACAAGTGACGGCATAGACTCCCCAGAATCTTCAGTCGATCCCTGCCTCCGGTTGCACATGCCGAGACGTGCCAAAAGTTCAGCATCACCGGAAGCTTCGATCAATCGAATGATGCCTTCAGCAGAAGTAAGGAAATACACTACACCATCACCTTGGCTGCACATGCTGCACGGCGACATCCGGAGTTTGGGCCGGATGTCGAATGTGTGCGTGTGTGCGCTTGTGTGTGTGTGTAAACTGTCCAACGAATATTGCATATTGGACCATGTTGGCATCAGAATAGTCTGTGGAATGAAGAGAGTAATACAAGACAAAAAAGAGAAGAATGCTTGTAATCATTCCAAAAGCCAGTAATTGAACAAACATGAACTTGCTGTCCAAATCATTGTGAACTGCAATGAGGGACTCTATCTGATGAACCGGCTCCGGCAACCGCCTCGGGAAAAACCATGACATCCCTACATGTCATGTCCACACAAAACCCTGGCAATCTGTGGGAGTGATCACGAGAACTCAAGGGAGGGGTGCTGCAAAGAGCCCTGATTCGGCTTTAGACACCAAAGAGCTTAATCGCCCGCCGCTGCCCGCAGCTAAGGTATGTTGTGTATACATGTTGCGGCATCCATACGCTAGTTGGGGATCACGGGGCGCTGTCGCTACAAACGCGCAGCTGATGTGATTTCTCCCGTGCTCTCTGACTCTCTCTCTCTCTCTATTTCTCTCTCTCTCTCCCTCTCTCTCTCCCTCTCTCTCTCTCTCTCTGAATTCCGGAGGACCTGCAACCGGGAAAGTATGCTGCATAGCATTTGCTGATAATTTACCTTTGCATGCATACATAGCATTTGCTGATAAATTTACCTTTGCATGCATACTTGAACCCCCCAAAAAAATTATGCCGCCCACATGCAGTTGGGCTGCTTCTGTTTGCGCATGTGTCAAACGTCATACTTTAGTCAGATATTTGGGGGAGATGTGCCGAAGCGGCCAGTTTCCCTATATCGAGGTCTATGTCAATATGACAACAAGCCC